AATATAGTTTATCTAGATCTCAATTTTAGTAAATGGTTTGATGATACAGCCCTCATTGAAATTGCACATTCATATTCCAACTTAAAACACCTCAATATTCACAATAATAAGGGAATAACCAATTTCTCCATTACTGAGATTACGTGATTATGTTGAAATATAGAGTATCTAAATATTTCATATTGTAAACATATTACTAACAAATCTATCCATGAAATTGTGAAATCATGCCATAGCTTAGAATTTCTGTATATTAGTGGATTGGGACACATTAAAGACATGTTAAAACAAGAAATTGCACACTTATGTACCAAAATTCATTTTCTTGATTTGGCATTTTGCAGTAGTATTACTAACAGTATTATTTGTCTTATAGTACAATCGTGTCAGAATTTGGAATATCTTAATCTTAGTGGATGTGGAAACATCAGTGATGTAGTTATTTGCGATATTATATATTATTGCCAAAAACTCAAATATCTTGATATTAGTTGTTGTAATATTTCAGATTTAGCTACCAAAAAAATTGCAAGTTCATGTATTAATCTAAAATTTCTTAATATACAGTTATGTGAAGGTATCAGTGAAAATGCAGTAAAAAAACTTAATTCAAATATTAAAGTAAAAGGTATTGGTTGATGAACGGATCCACATCATTTAATCATAGATCAGTTTAGATATTAATTTCTTCACAAATTATCACTTGAGAATCAAATGGAAGTCAGAAGATGTGGATTAAAGCTTTCATTAGATGGGTTGGTGACAAGATTAAATGTTTTGAAAGGTCTTGCTAGTAATATTTTTTGATTAATTTTTATGTTTTTTGCTGATCCTAAATTCTACTTTCCTATATATTGATTCCACTATAAAAACCTTATATTGTTGACCCTGATGGTCAAATTTTATTTATTATTATATTTTTATCTTATTAATAATGATTATAATAATGACAATCGTAATAATGATTACAATGATGACAATAATGATGATAATTATAATAATGATCATTATGATGATAATCATAATAATAATGATGATGATGAGAATGATGATGATAATAATAATAATGATAGTAATAATAACGATTATAATAACAATAATAATGATGATAATAATGATAATAATAACAGTAGTAGTAATATTAGAAGTAGAAGTAGTATCACAGCTGCTACTATAGCAAGTAGAAGTAATATCACAGCTGTTACTACATCAAGTAGAAGTAGAAGTACTTGAACACCTATAATTTCTATTTATATTAAAGACAAATGGTGGAGATCTAATTTGGTAAAATCCATAATTATAGTATATTTTTACACCTATTGAGCATAATATTAATAAGTGATATCAAATGATACTTAATAACTAAAGAAGCTATTGTACAAAAGAATCGATCCAAAAATTGATCTTTTGTATAAACTGCCAAAAAATTTCAAGCTTCAAATTAGATCTCTACAACATATGCTGAACAAAAATGAAACAAAAGTTTCAAAAGGTGTACCTATTTGAACTCTAAATAAAGAAGTATTGAAAGTAATAAAGTGGAATAAAAAGACCATTCCAATTTATGATCTTGATACTTCAGATCAAGATGTTGATAACAATAATGATAACAATAATAATGATGATAATGATAACGATAATAATGATAATGATGAAGCAGGAACTAGTAGTAGAAAAAGAAAAAGAAAAGGAAAAGGAAAAGAAAAAGAAAAAGAAAGAAAAAAGAAAAATCTAAAAAAAAATAAAAAAAATAATTAGATAGATTTAAACATGAACATTAAAAATATTTATATAGTATAAATAGTATAATTAACAATATAACATATTTCATTTTATATTTTTTATTAATAAATAATATATTTTATTTATATTTATAATAATAAGCAAAAATGTGATTATCAATAATAAGAAAAGTGAAAATATATAATAAAAGTCACTGATAGGTATCCGATAATATGAAAAAAACATCCAATATTGAGAAATATATAGTGGCCAATATATATCCAATATACTATATCAATATATTGAAGATATGTATCCAATAAAAAATAAATAAAATTGAAAATCCAATAAGTATATGATGGATTTGAAAAAAAATATCAAAAAATTGGAGTCCAATATATATCTAATATTTATCCAATATGTACTTGATATGTGCCTAAACTTTGGCACACTCACCCACCTATCAGGTACCTAATATATTACAATTTATAAAAAATCAGGTACCTATTGTATACCTATCAGGTACCTAATAGGTATACAATAGGTACTAATTTTTCACAATTTGATCAGTATTGCTGTATACTACTTTTATTGATTACTATTTTTTCATATTATTTACTAAATATATTTAATACTAATTAATAATAGATATTAATAATTATTATTAAATAATAATATGTGATAATAATTAATGTTATGAATTAATAATTATATTTGTGTGATTAAATTTCATATTATTTTGTACTACTTATACCTGCCACCCAAATTCAAAATCCAAATGCCGAAATCCCAAATGCCGAAATCCCAAATCCCAAATCCCAAATTATGATTAGTATTTTTTGCCGAAATCCCAAATCCCAAATCCCAAATACTAGTAATTTGGGATTTTGGCGTTCCAAATCCCAAATGATTTGGGATTTGGGCAACACGTATAGTACTACTATAACATGACTAATTAATATGTGTTACTGGATATAAATATTAGTTAAAATATTATTAAAATATCACTATTCATTAATTGAATTAATGTTTATTAATTGAATTTTAAATATTACTATTTTCTAATATTATTGTTAACTATTTGCAGGTGTTTTTGGTATTGTATATTATACTTTTTGACCATAATAATTTCATTCTGTAACAATATAATCTACAATAATTTCAAATATGTATATAAAGGACTGAATTTCTTTTCTCTCAGTTCTCAATTCCTCAACTTACAAATAAAATTTTTTATGATTTACAATAATTCTATGTGAATTATTTTTTAGTTTTAAATTCTTAGTGAGTTTGTTTTTCTTATAGTTTCTGTGTAAAACTTTATTATAATTCTTAGTAAATTACTTTCATCTTTGTGACTAGTATTTGTTATAGTTTTTGCCTTAGTGACTCATATAATATAGTTTTCTTTGTAACTTGTCTTAATAACTCTTCTTAGTGAAATATCATCTTAGTGACATACATATCTTCTTTATAAAAATCTCACCCCTTTAGTCTCTTTTGAGTAAATCCATAATTACAAAACCTTCATATTTATACTTCTCTTATAGTATAATTATCTAACAATAGCATATTTAGTATAGTGCTTAGTTTTAGCTATATATACTTTTCCTACTTTTAGTTACTAGTTTATTGAATTCTTTTGAAGGTGAATCTCAGTTAACAATGCAGTCACATAATTTTGTCAGAAAATTATTGATTACACATATACAATATTTGAAAAATAACATATGATAAATTATACATTCCTCAAAGAGACAAGTCTCCTTTCTTTGAAAGATCAAAAATCTTTATTAATAAAATATAAGATATATATACACCAGCCTGCCAAAAGTATCCGGACAGCTGTTTTTTTTCAAATTTTTTAAAAAATTTCAAGGATGAATTCTGGCACAACGAATAATTTAAATTGCACAAACTTTTTTTTAAAAGAATCCCCAGATCAAGGGCTATCGTATGATATCTTATTTATTCAAATTGGATGCCTGCTCATTTTAAAATATTGTCTTAAATAAAATTAACCAAAAATATTAAATTAAATTATTAATCGTAATCTCTTTCGATTTCAGTAATTATCTACTGGAAGTGCTTACTATCTTATAAGAATTTGTAGCTCTATACTAAATCTATGACTTTAATTAGTACCATATTTTATATTTTCTAGTTAAAATCAGAACTTTACTTAGACACGACTAAAAAATGATCGAAATTATTGTTGATCATTTACTGTTTAAAGAAAATTATCAATCGTCGTTACATATAAAACATTATTTTATGCCAATAAAATCTTAAAAGTAATACTAAGTAATCTTCAAGAGAATATTATTGCGCATATACTGTAAAAGTTTCAAGCCTATATCATGCGAAGAGAAGAAATAATTAACAATTAAACTTTAATAAATAAATGCTAATAATTCCTTTAATTCTTAAGATGTGGATTTAAAACTTTTACAGTAGATATAAAATATTATTATCTTTAATTTTACTTAGTATCGCTTTTGAGATTTTATTGGTATAAAATATGTTTTATATGTAACAACGATTGATAATTTTCTTCAAACAGTAAAATGATCGACAATAATTTATTTTTAAACCCGTTGAGAATCTTTTACTAAAATATCACTTAATTTCAAATGCTAATTGTAGCACAATGAATGACCCAAATTGCATAAACTTTTTTTTAAATGAATTCTTAGATCAAAGCCTATCATATGATACCTTGTTTGCTAAAATTGGACATTTGTTTGTACAGAAATTTTGTTTTAAATAAAATTAATCAAAAAAGTCAAATCAAATTATTGATTATAAAGTCTCTCGATTTTGATGAATATTTATCGTAGATACAAATAATCTTATAAACATTTGTAGCTAATAACGAGAGGTACAATTTAATTAAAACCATTTTTAATATTTTTTAGTAAAAATTAAAACTTTACTTAAGCATAAATAAAAATTTTAATGATATATAAAAAGTTACAACTTTTATTAAAACTATTTTAACATTTTCTAATAAAAAAAAATTTTAATGATGTAACTCCTAAATAAATAATGCTCAAAATTAATATTTTGTTGGATATCCTTTATTCTTTATAACTTCTCTAATTCTATTTGGTATACTTTTTACTAATTGAGTAAGTCAACTTTCATCAATTTTATACTATTCTTCTTGTAATGCTACAAAAAATTCAGTTTTGTTTTTTGGAATAGGTTTATGTTTTCTAATTCTTGTCTCAAGTTCATTCCATAAATTTTCAATTGGATTAAGATCAGGACTTTGAGCTGGCCAAGGAAGTCTTTCAATTAAATTGTCTTCCTTACATTGTTTTGTTTTATTTGAAGCATGGCATGGTGCATTATCATCTTGAAAAATAGGATTTTCTATATTTAAATTATTTAAATATAGAAGCAAATATTCTTTAAGCAATTCTATATATCTATCAGAATTAAGGTTGCCTTCAACTAGAATTAGTGGACCCAACTTATTATTACAAAAACATCCCCACACCATAATTCCTACTGAATTTTTAACTGTAGGTTTTAAACAATCACTTTTATATCATTCATCTTTTTTGCGCCATATCCAATTTCTAGAATCATTATTAAATAATTCATATCTTGATTCATCACTCCATATAATATTTTCCCATTCATTATTCCATTTTTTTTTCATACGACACCAACTAAATCATTTTTTTTTATTTTTCTCTGAAATAAAAGGTTTTTTTTTGCTGCATGTTCACTATAACCTTCTTGGTGTAAGGTTCTTCGAACTGTACTACTAGAAACTGAAATATTTAATCCAGTATTAAAACTTTCAGTTATTTCTTCCAATGTTTTACTTCTATTATTTTTAACAATTTTTATTAATTGTCTATTATCACGATTAGTTAATATTTTTGATCTACCTGATCATGAAATTGTAGAAGTCAAACCCTGCTCATTATATTTTTTTACAATATCTCCTATTGTTGACTTGGGATAACCTAATAATTCTTTAATTTCATTGTATGAATGTTTTCCTTTATGTAAACCAATAATTTCTTCACATTCAAAATCAGTAAGTTCTCTTCTTTTAGGCATAATTTTATAATAAATAACAAAATTTTATTTTAAAGTTTATAAACAAAATAATTTATAAAAATTTAATTTATAAAATTTTTATTATTCTATTAAAATTAAAAATTGAATATCTATATTAAAATTATACAAAATAAAAAATCAATAGTATATGCAGTTTCTTTGTGATATATGCAGTTTCCTTGCACAGTTTCTTTGTCCCTTTTTTTTTGCATTTTCAAATTTAGTAATAATTATTTTATAACCTTTCTATAGTAAATTTTAGGATAATCTGTGAGGGAATTTAAACATATATGATAATATAAACATTTTTATTTGTGCTTAAGTAAAGTTTTAATTTTTACTAAAAAATATTAAAAATGGTTTTAATTAAAATTGTAGCTCTCATTATTAGCTACAAATGTATATAGGATTATTTGTATCTACAATAAATATTCATCGAAATCAAGAGACTTTATAATCAATAATTTGATTTGACTTTTTTGATTAATTTTATTTAAAACAAAATTTCTGTACAAACAAATGTCCAATTTTAGCAAACAAGGTATCATATGATAGGCTTTGATCTAAGAATTCATTTAAAAAAAAGTTTATGCAATTTGGGTCATTCATTGTGCTACAATTAGCATATAAAATTAAGTGATATTTTAGTAAAAGATTCTTAACGGGTTTAAAAATAAATTATTGTCGATCATTTTACTGTTTGAAGAAAATTATCAATCGTTGTTACATAAAAAACTCTTTCTTCTTTTCTGCAAAAATGAAAAAATCCGCAGTAAAAGAAAGAAAATTAATAGGTTTTTTTTTATTTCTTTTAAAACAAAAGCAAAAAAAGACCAACAAACATGTCAGATAAGAAAAATAAAAACAAGAACATATTAGGAATGGCAACAAGTATTATAGAAATGGTAAAATCAAAAAATAGAAAAAGAACGCAATACAAGAATGCTTTAATCCCCATGGAAGAAGACTTGAGAGCAGAAGCAAGCTCATCAAATTCAAGTATTAAAACTTTCCAGAACGACATGAAACAAAACGTAGAAATAACTCCATCAGAAGAAGCAACCCCAGAAAGAGAACAATAGCAAGAAACTGAAGAACTAAAGAGCATTTATACAATTAAGGAGAAACTATCTGAGAAAACACAACTTAATAATCAAATGGTAAGAATATTAGAAAAAGAGAGAAAAGAAGAGCAAGAAATAATACCAAATCAAGGTTTTATCACAATAAATAAAGGAAAAGAAAAAGAAGAAAATCGAAATGACGACAAAGGAGAAAATAACGAAGAAAATGAAAATGATATAAATGATAATACTTCAATAATCTCAATCGACTCAAACTTATCAGAACATGAAAAATGGAGAATAGAAACCAATGCCAAAAGATACAAAGTATGGGTAAAAGTTAACAATAATAAAGGTCAGAACATAAAAGAAAAAACATCTTTTTTATTAAAAGAATTTAATGAAAAAGTGAATTGGATAAATTTATCACGAGAAAAAAACTCCAACGAAAAGGGGATACACTTAACCCTGACTTTTGAAACAGAAGAGGATCTTCAAAAAGCCTTGCAAATAGAAATCCAAACAAACGAACAAAACAAAACAATAAAAATGACACGAGCACCATTAAAAAGAAAAAATAAATACACAATAACAGATTCAGTAGTCAAATTCTGAGACATACCTATAAAAGTAAACAAGGCAGAATTTTTACAAATGATAGAAAATAAATTTGATAAAATAGTATCAAGCTCAGCAAGACTAAACGGGTTATATCATACATTCTGGATTCAATTTGAATCACAAGAAACTGCAGAAGAAATTTTAGAACAAAAATCTCAAATAGTGGGAGATGAATGTGTATGTGTAACAACTCCTAACATAAAGTATACAGATTTACTAAAATTGAAAGAAACAAGTTATGCGGCTAAAGCAATAGATGTACCACCAACTATGACTTCTGCAGAATTATTTACAATAATGAAACAAATAGGAGCACAAACATGTTACATGCCAGTAACTAGAAATGGAAATAGAAAAGGAATAGCAATATTAAATTTTGAATCACAAGAAGTTAAAGAGGAAGCAATAGGTAAGGGTTATAAAGTAGATCAACACATGATCAAAATTATTGCTGCAGATCAAAAAATATGTCACCAATGTAAATCAACAGATCATCTGGTTCTGAACTGCCCAATAGCAAAAGAAAATAAAGAAAGAGAATTTAGACAAAAACAAAATTACCAAAGATTTAACCAAACATACAAACGATATCAGCCAAGAGTATACAACACACTAACAAACAAATATACAGATAAAAAAAATACTTATGCAGAAATAACAAAAAGACGAACATATCAAAATGAACAACAACAACAGTACAAATATCAACAAAAAAACAATAATACAAATGAAACAAAAATGATGCAAATGCTAGAAAATATAAATAATAGATTAAACCAAATAGAAGAAAATATAGAACAACTCAATGAAAGAGTTGACAACCTCCAACAAAAACAAGAAATAACAACTAACAAGAAAGACGAAAATGAGATGCAAACAGAAATGGTAAGTAATGAAGAAACAGAAATATACAGAAGTAATAATTAACAAAATTGGAAAAAACAAAGAAATGAAAATCAAAAACAAAATAACGAAAATGACAACGAAGTAATGAGTTATTTAAACCAAATAGTAGGAAAACTAAACAATATGGAAGATCAAATAACAGCAGCACACCAAAGAATAGACTTAGCAACAGGAAATCAAAACTATCAACAAATGAAAAACACATCTATTAACAATTATTAATGATGAGTGATAAAAAAAACAATAATAATATTAATAAAAATATTATTACAAAGGAAAAAACAAAAGAAATTAATAATAATAATAACAATAATTCATTAAACATTAATAACAATAATATAATAATAAATACATATACAAACGATAACAATAATAATAATAGGAATAGCATTTTAAATAAAAATATAAACAATCATATTTCATTAAATATCAATAATAATTTATTAAATAATGGAAATAAAAACAATAAAAAAACAAAAAAAAATAGGGAAAAAAAAGGAAAAAAAAGGAAAAAAAATAGGAAAAAATATCAAAAAAAAATCAAAAACAGATGAAACAACACAAAACAACAAAAAAGAAATAACATGGAAAATAGCGACACAAAACATTAAAGGGCTAAACGACAAAACAAAACAAAACATATTATGGAACCAATGTGAAAAATCAAAAATTGATATTATATTTTTACAAGAAACCAATATCAAAACAAATTCAATAACATCTTTCTTCTCACACACACATACAACACAAAAAAAATGAAAAATTTCTACTAAACGAACCTGAAACATATAAAACTTGAAACTCATTAATTGAAAATAGCAACAAAAAACTAGGACAAGGGATAACAATAGCAATTAAAAAAAACACGTATACAAGAAAAAAGAAATAAATGGATATGCCCTAATATTACTATTATCATTTAAAGAAAAATATACAGTTCAAATAATTTCAATTTACAATTCATCACAAACAACGGAAAACGCTGAAATAAGATCAAAACTCAAAAAATAGGTAATAGAAAATCTAAACGAAGCAAAATCAAAAAGTTGGTATACAATAATAGAAAGAGACTGGAACACTACGCTCAACTCAGAAAAGGACAGGAAAACAATACCAATAACAAGAAACTAGAGTAATAGAAAACCACAAAGCTCAATCCTCAACCACATGAAGTACATGGGTTATATAGACTCATACGAAATAACAAATGACATCAGAAAAAATACAGAAGAAAAAAACCTAACATGTATCAAAAAAACCAAAAAATATACATCAATGACAAGAATCGACGCAATATGGGTAGATCAGGATACAGCAACAAAAATACTTAAACATAAAACAAAAGATACAATAAAACAATTATCAACAGACTACAAAATGATAATAATCAAAATAGATCCTTCAGAATGGATAAACAGAAAATATATAGCTTGGGTAAGAAATGCAAATCAAAAACCAAAAAAACTATGGGATATTAAAAAAACAGACGAAGAACAATGGGAAACATACAAAAATAAAATAGAGAACAATATTAGAAAATTAGAAATAGAAATTAAAAACAAAACAATAAATAATAAATGGAATGCTTTTAAACAAATAATTATAAACGCAACAAATAATAACATAACAAAAGCTAAAACACCAAAAAACAGAACAACAAAAAATTGTTTTTATAAATCAACTATCATCCAAATCATAAATAAACTAAATAAAACATTAAGAATAACGAAAAAAAATTTAAAAAATAAAAATAAAAATAAAAAAAAATAAAAGAAGAAACCAATAAAAAAATAGAGGAAATAAATAAAAAAATAAATGGAAGAAATTACAAAAAAATAGAATTAATAAAAAAAGAAGACGAAATAACGGAATGGTTAGTAACAAGTAAAATACTATGGAAAATGTGGAGAAACGAAGCAAAAGCAGAAATAAACGAAATAACAAATAAAAAAATAAAAAAACACATAAAAAAATGACAAATAAATTTAAAAGAAAATCTAAAATCAATGATAGATTCAATATTAGGTCAATGGAAAAAGCAAATTATAACAGATAGAATAGTTACTACGAAAGAAAATGGAGAAATAGAAATACTAACTAGTCCTATAAAAATAAAAAAACAAATAAAAGAACACATGGAAAAATGGATGACAAATTCAAATGAAGAAACAACAGAAACACCACCAGAATGGGAAAAGGAATACGAACTGAAACAAGAAATACAGAACACAATCTTCCAAACAGTAACACAAGAAATATCAATAGAAGAACTAGAAAACATCTTAAAAGAATCGGCAAAAAATAAAGCTCCGGGACCTACAGGAATAACATATGAAATGTGAAAAAAAATGTGACCATTAGGAAAAGGAATTCTCAGGAAACTCTTAAACGAAATGATAAATGAAGAAACGATTCCAATAGATTGGATAACAA